AACCTGCTGTTGGCTATTCAAGCCATTGTCCAACAAGATCCGACTCTGATTGGTCAACCCAATCAGGCCACTTGCACTCCTCTGCATTATGCCGCCGAGAAACGACTGGTATGGGGCAATCACTACTATCGCAGTGGCGAACTCGTCTTGATGCTCCTACGAGAGTACCCTCAAGCCGTCTCGATACGGACCAAAACGGGAACTGGCAAAACTCCCTTTCATGTGGCCTGCGAAGCCAACGCCGATGCACGAGTCCTCAAGGCCATGCTACTCATACATCCTGGACTCGCCACGGAACCATTCGTCAAACGAGATGTCTACAGTCTCGCCGAAAATCCATTGCAAATCCTATGGGGACACAGTAGTATGAATCATCCCAACAATACGCAGACACACGAAAAAATGGCACTCTTGGTACGGGCGGCGCATTATGGAACCGTCGATGATGCCTGTCATGACGATCATCATTCCAAAATTAGACTTGTCAGCGCCGCCTGTTCCGTACGGTGTCCACAGGCGTACTTTTTGCATTTACTGCAAGAATATCGACAAGAAATATTTGAACTCGATGAACCACGACAATTGTTGCCACTCCATTACGCCGTATCCAATGCATCGGTAGATTCACAACCTTACACACAGTTTGTGCTGGAATCCCTCTTGGAAGTGTATCCCGATGCGGCAGCGGTACCCAATGAAGAAGGACGGTTGCCACTCCATGTCGCATTGATGGATTCCAAACTCACGTGGCACAAAGGAGGGATTCAAGAACTTGTCTATGCCTACCCCAGTGCATTGATGGTACCAGATCCCGTACATCACTTGTTGCCATTCCTGGCATCGGCGTATAATGCCTTGGAGAGCATGTTGCATCTATCCACAACTTACGAGTTGTTGAGGGCGGCACCAGATGTCATGGAAAGATTGTGGTGATCAACCAGACAGCATGTCTCAACTGTTGGACCACTTACTTACTTGATGGAGGGCTAGCATGTTTACCTGCAGTTGTGAATTGTGGCTCCTGCTTTTCCGTCGTTTTGATTTCTGTAGTATAAAAAAGACACAATAGAGTTTACAGAATCCCAAGTCTGGATTAGTCCTGGTAAAGATGTGGCTACATGACTAAGTCAGTCTCTTTTGCTGTGCTGTTTGCCCTTTTATTCCATCACACATGGCAGGAGCAACGCTCGCAAGTCTCTTCAGGTGGCTTTCGTAGCTCGTCACTATGCATGGCCAGCTACAGTCGTACCATACCCCAGTATTTTTCAATGAGATCCTTGCCGTACACCTGTGCAATCCTTCGTCATTGAGTTCTGCCGGCGAGTGAAATGTAGCTCTTATCCACGTCGGGTGCTCCCAGTGTTTTCATGGAGACGGCAGCATTGACAGCCGCGGTAGCCATGGCAGCTGCCGAAGCTACCGGTACCCCTGAATTGGTGAATCGATCAGCAAAGGACGGACTGTCGTTGGTGCTTCTGTTGATTGGTTCCTTTGTTCTTTTGTGCTGTCTTGCTTTCGTCCATGGTGGATGCAAACAGCAGTAGCTTGCAGCTCTGTCGGCTGTACGGTAGGTAAGCCAAAGTCTCGCAATCATTCTTTGGAGTCTTCTTTGTGGAATTAAAAAGCATCAACGAATCTGATATGGTTACTAATGCTTTGATTGGATCATTCGGGACGCAATAATACTTGAAACGTCGCCGTAGAGGTGATCTGCTTTCGCGTGGCAACGGCGAAAGAACCGAAAAGAAGAGGGAAAAGATGCGTGGTAATCGCAGTACAAGCCCAGCAAGATATCCCAACCATCCTCGCAGTCGCGACCATACTAGCTAGTATGGTACCAAGAGCACAATGTTCAAGGCAAGAAGCAACAGTGGAGAGTATCTTGCTTGATCATTGCGGCTCGTTCGGTGTCAACATCCCAAGATTTTCCAAGTGGCGAGGACAACCCTGTTCTATTACAGTATCCGTTTTGCTACCGTACATGTTCTTTGATTGAGAGCTGAACAAAAGAACAAAACCGTTGCTTTATTGAAGAAATACCCTCATCAACCATGGCCGACGATAAGTTTGACGATGAGCCTCTCAACACAGACAATGGTGCTGGGCGACCTCCACAACGCGAGCACAAGTACTCTACTGCAGACATGAAGCCAGAGAATCCTTGGAAGCGGATCTGCTGTACCATTTTGACTTGTCTCGTTTGTATCGCCATCATGATTCTCATCTCCCTTCTTATGCAAAAGCTCTTCGATCCACCCGAAGGTAGGTTGTTCCTTCCACTACATTGTTTTTTGTTATCTTTGTAGGAACTTGTTCTGAGCTCATTTTCAATCGATTCGATGCCTTCCTCACCATTATCCAACTTCCTATTAATGGCTACCAAAAGATGAGGACTGGTCTGATGATGCCGTGAATGCAACGGATGATGATATTGTGGGAGTCGCAGGTGCATTGACCGGCGCAGCCGCTACACTCCCTAAGAATATGGCATTCATCGAAGACGTTTGTTCCGAAGCACGCATTGGAGAAGACGATACTGCAGCCTGTGAAGCTGCCTGTACTCCTGCTAAGGACTGTTGCAACCCCTATTCTGGTGGTGGCAATAGTACTTGCTTTGAAGGAGAACAAACTGGATGCTTTGCCTATTCCAAGTGTCACTCCTTGACTGGTTTCTTTGATGCTGCTCATAATGATTTGGATCGAGTCTGTAGCAAAGCCAGCCTTGAAATCAACCGGGAAGAGTGCGAACAGGCGTGCTCCTCTCTTTCCTGTTGCTACCAGGAATCGGAATCTTGTGTCGCTAAACATTTCGAGGCATGCTTGGATTATGCGGCTTGTCAAAATCTGAAAGAAGACTCTATTGGTGTGGCACCCATGGATTTGGATGAAACCTGTGAAAGGTCGTCACCTGTCTGCAAGAGAGAGTGTAAGGATGCTCTTTGTTGCTCCGATCCAAATTCGAAATGCTACCGCGAAAACTTTGTGGCGTGTCTTTCCTACATGTACTCAGCTTGCACTGGCCATTCCGATACCAAAATCACTGTGGCACCTATCAATTCTCGAGTGAATGCAGCTCCATCCAACCTCGAAGAAGTCTGCTCCCCTAAGGGGCTTGCTGAGCATGGTTCTGGCCAGTGCCAACAAGCTTGCTCAGCAGCTGCTTGTTGCTGGTTGGATGGTGCGTCAGGGTGCTTTGGCGAGGATCCTCTGGGATGCATTGAATATCAACGTTGTTCCATCTTGAATGAGCCCAATTCTGCTGCGGATGTTCCAGTCAGCCCGGTCAGGTCAGCTACAATTTCTCCTGAGGCAGAATCATCACCTGGGCCGTCTTCTGGGGGAACCACTACAGCTCCAGCACCTGAACCCACTTCAGCTGGTACTTCTACAACTCCAGCCCCTTCAGCAGGGGGGACTACCACTACAACTCCAGCCCCTTCAGCAGGAACGCCGCAACCTAGTGCCGTTGCCTCAACTGAGCAGGCTCAAGCTCGCGGTTTCCGCGGAATTCCGAACTGAAAAGCGTAGTTCGGTGGCTGGTGAATGTCTCCAATACTACCGCATCCGGTAGAATCAATAGGGTTATCTTAGGCAATTAATAAAAGTACATATCTCTTATTATATGAAATCAAGTTTGAAAAGATTTGTTGCGCCTGGTTTGTAAGGATTTTGTAAGGATGCAAACTAGCTGGTTTTTGATGCCGATCAGCAGTACAAGCACGGTGTTGGTTGCTGCCGTCGCGTTTTACATGCAGAAGCTACTTTGCAAACCGCGACATCCCTCAGTGAGCAACAAATGATATCTCTCGTCCCAGGAAGGGGCTTCTGTAATCCATCGTCTTGTTCAAGACAAGGTCTGCAAGCATTTCATTGACCAGTTCAGCGTCGTCTCCAATCGCCCTGAGAATTGTCATTCGATCCAGTTGAACGCTGGCCTCGGCCCTTCGCACATCCCACGGAAAACGCTTCTCTTTATCAGATTCTATCGGTACTTCCTGCTCGATGTAACGCAGAGAACCATCCAAGAATATCCTGGGCCATGATACCACCGACCAAACGAGCTGGGTCACATAGATCAGCGGAAACAACATGGAAACGACAAGACCACAGAAAGCATCGGATATTGCCCTGAATGGTGCCACAACAGCTCTTGGCAAATTATCTTCCAAGATGATGACTGGCACGAGTAGGCAAGCCGAAATGGCAGCATACAAGACAACCACCAGAGCCACAAGGTCGGTCATGGTCTGAACAATCGCCTTGTGCTTCTGGTATGTCACCTGGTCTGCCGGCATGAGCTTGGGCTGCGAAGGGTGAATTGTTCTGTTGTTGGCATTGACGTATTCTCTAACTAACTGCCGCAATGTGGATAAGTCACCTCCCATGGTGATGAGAAGACCTTGTTTCATGGCCAAATAAACCTCAAAACAACACCAAGCCCTTTGGTAGATGGGAGCATCTAGTGATGTAATCACGATCATTTGCTTCATACTCTCGCTACTGAGCACCTTGTAAAAGGCATTACTCTGCAGATTGCTGGCAACACAGCCAAGATAACAACACTTTGCATCTAGGTTTTGTGGATTGGACAGGAAGCAAATGTAGGCTGCATGGCAATCATCCGGCCATGCTTTGAGTAGATGGTTGGCAAATTCGAAGATACCTGCAGACCAAGAATGACAGACGAAGAGATCACAATCAAGCCCTGATGGGTTCTTCATGAGAGCCCAGCTTGAATTGGGAGGTGCTTCTGTTGCATCCAGACCATCCCCATCATGTCCTATGGATCTTCTCCGGAGAAAGCGCCCCAAGAAGGTTCCCTTGGTGCGTGGTCTGATGAATTGCTGAGTTACATGGTATATGGTGGGTCCAATCTTGGGATCGTTGAATTTTTCAGAGCTGTACCTGTAGTATGAGCATTGTCTGGCACGACCCGATGAATGCGGTAGAGGGACGTTTTCAAATAAGCCCTTCCTCTGGTAGAAGAAAACCTCATTGACAAATTCTTTGAATTGTGGCTTGGAAATACCCCATTGCGAGGCGGTTATGTTGGCCCTGGCTCTGCCTTCCGGTCCTTGGCTAATCAGGGATACCCTTCGCCGCTGTTGACTCATGGTCTACGGTATATTAGAGAAGGCTTCGAATCAATCGAATCTTTCAAAACTGCTTGTCCTCGACCTCCTTGCCCTGTTGTATCTGCCATTGTCAAAACTGAAGGCCGGCTGCTCCACCAACACACCGACTGGTAAATAATGTGAAACAAGATCCAGGACCATCTAAAACATTTCGGCTGTTGTCTTGTACCAGTATCAGTTAGTATAATGCCCCTACATGTCCATGATCGTGCATCCAGTATCCGGTGATGAGGCAGTTGACGTTGACACTTACCCCAAAATGCTGACTTACCCCCAACCCCAAGGTCTTGTCCATTTTCTCGGAAGGAATATTCACCTTAACCCTAACTTGAATTCGTAACGCAATCCACGTATATTGAACATATTCAGCCATGAAGGTCTGGGTATGTTCGTCCACTACTTACGTAACGAGGCTTGGTGTTACTTCCAAGAAATGAATGAGATGAGAGATGGCCCACATCAAAAGTCCATCATCAGAACGATCGATAGACTGGGGCAAAGTAGAGGTCCGACGACGCATAGCGAGAGGAAAATTCTTGAAGCGCTGGTTCTCCTTCTCCATGAGCGGTAAAGCGAAAACCACCCGTTTCCTTCTGACTGAGCGAGCTTGGGACAATCGTTGGGACTGTATTAGCTAGTTATACCTCTCAGTTATCATCTATCATACCCCTGTGTTGAAAGGTATCAGAAGGTATCGGATGTTCATAAGGGCGAAAGAATAGTATTCGCTGTGGTTAGGCAAGCAGGCAATTTGTAGTGTGTTGGTCCCAGGTTACCCATACCGGTAGTGTTACGTCAGAACGCAGAAGTCTCAGATAGCGAGAAAGCTGCCTTCGTCCACCGTTCCTCCCGCTACGATCACCCAGGCTACCGGTACCCTAGCCATAGCGGTATCTATCCATTAAACAATCTACCCCTCCACACTCATCTATGAGAGAAGGCAAGAGATCTTACTTTAGAAGAGATAAGAGCAGTTCCTCGTCGGAAGAACAGAGGGACCGGGTTCGGGGCAGCAGCAGTAGCAGCCGAGAAGCAAAGCCCAAGTCCAAGGCCAAGCGCATGTTCTCGAGAAAGGCCAAGAAGAGGAAGAAATCCTCCAAGTCCCAAAAGATGGCTTCCGAGACAACGGCCTTGTCGCCCACGACGGACAATCACAAAGCCGTCGATGTCAAACATCAACACTTTCATATACCCCAAAAATTCAAGTTTCTCGACACTCCCACTCCCCAGCAGACTACTGATGAATCTACGGATACCGGTACAGATCAAGATGACTTTGGAGTATTGGATGAACAGGACGAAAACGTCAATCTTGTGAGCACGGAACACAGCTATATCTCGGATAACGATCCCTACATTTACAGTGATGACAGTGAATCCTTTTCAGATGCTTACTTCCGGCCACAAATCAGTGATTATCCAGCTGTCCTCTATCCCCGGAGCTCATCCCATGGCTCGTTTACGTCTTCCTTCAGAGATGAACACAGAATAGGAATAACAGACGAAGGGCCATGGTCAGCAACATCACCTCCTCCCTTGCCTCCAGGCAACCCCATCAATCCGTTTCACAACAACACACCTCCTCATGCTTTAAACTACTCGACGGTGATGCTGGGGCAAGCAACTTCCGATCGATCGGGTTCTCCTTTCAAACATTCTGGGTCGAGCATTGCATCCATTCTCGAAGACTCTCCCGCCGACGAGGAACAACAACAGCTATTGGGTGACGACCTTGCAGGACATCACTACTATGGAGGCTTGCAAAACACGCTCAACATTGGTACACCTGCGGGTGCAGCAGAAGCAGATGCACAATATTTGAGGCAAACAAAGAAGGAACGACGGAAAATACGCAAGCAACAAAAGGCAGCAGCCAGACAACGCCAAATGCAAATGCTCCAGAATCAAAAGCAGAGGGAACAAGCTGTTAGAGAACGAACCGTCTCGGAAGTGAAAGGGCGACCTCAGGATGAAACGGTTTGTCGAGACTCCGTCTATGCCTATGTCTTTGTAGTTCATCTCCTTCTCGTCTTTGCCTTGGCTGTGAACTCGGGGACAACAGTCATGTTTTCCAAAGATGCTGCGACGTGGGGTACGATCGCGCAGACAAGCAAAACAAACACCAATACTGCGACAAATACAAAGACGACTTTCTTCCAAAGGAACAAAGCTAAAAGGCGCTTGCTGGATCGAATATTCATCGAAACAGCCGACTATCCCTTGTTCAGACGACTTGACAGCCCCCTGCTCGACACAGGCAACACAATATCAAAGAACTCGTCTCTACATGATGTTTTGCTCAAGAAGAATGACACAAAGGATCTTTTGAGTGATGATGCCATTGCACCAGAGGATAGCAAGAGCTCCTCGTCGTCATCTTCATCATCCTCCTACTCTACGAAAACACCTACTAGCCCTCCGGCTCCTACACCCAACAAGATCACCGATCCAACATCTTTTACGATTGATTACCGGAACGCCATAGCATTGCTTGGTGTGTCGGGCTTCTACGCTTGCATCCTTTCCTACCTTAGTTTCGGGTTCATGCTGATCATGTCGAGAGCATTGATTCAGGTGACACTCGTCTTTTCCATCATCTTGTCGCTCGCATGGGGCATGTTGGGATTGACGATTGATCCCTACGGAGTCATATCCATTATGGGTTTTGGAGCCCTGCTGCTCACGCTTGGATACACCATTTACAATTGGCAACGAGTGCCGTTTGCATCAACAAATCTACACACGGCGCTCTGTGCTATGCGATGTACGAGCGATATCACTCTCTTGGGCATGGGCGCCATCTTGGTTGCTTTTGCCTGGACTGTGGTTTGGGGCATGGCGTTCATTGGCGCTGTGGATACCTTTGATCCCAACAAGTGCACCAACCAGAGTCTCTGTGTCTTTGAGATTCCACTCATTCGGTTTGGGTTGTACGGATTCTTCATCATCTCCTTCTATTGGACAAATGCAGTTATCAAAAACATTTTGCGGGTGACAGTGGCCTCAGCTATTGGTACTTGGTGGTACTATCCGCAAGAGATCAGTCCAATATGCAGCCCTGCTGTAGGACAGCCGTTGCTGCGATCGCTCACAAAGTCGCTTGGGTCAATCTGCCTCGGAAGCTTGGTCTCTCGTCCACTTCAGTGCATTCATATGCTTGGACAATGCTTTTTCTGCATGTGCAACTTTCGCAGGCACACAGCGCCAACGGTGTTCTCCGATGAAGCAGATGAGGAAGGCGAGACTCGTGAGAAGGAAACCATGGGTGGTGGTGATGTGGAGTCTGCGCTAGTCGTACCGGCAACTCCTACGGGTACCGCAAGCCTGAATGGTAGCACAGTGAGCAAAGACGCAAAGCCAATTGGAAGTAGACTGCGCTGTTTCAATCATCCTACACCTACATTGGAATGTATGGCTACAACTTTTGCGAAGGCGGAGAGAAGGCCATCCAATTGTTTGAAGCACGTGAATGGATGGAAGTTGTCAGAGACAACCTTATTCAGAACGTGCTTTTGATGGCGAGTTTTGTAATCGGTGGCAGCACTGGTTCGTTCGCCGTGCTAGCTGAGGAAGTGGACGGATATGACTTCACCACACTTCATAAACCGATCTCCACATCCTTCCTGATTGGTTCTGTCCTTGGCTTTGTGCTCGCCAATGTCTGTTGTTGGGTGTTGTGGGTCGGCTGTCAACACAATCCTGGTATGCTTTGCCGCTGGTCCGTTTGAGTTTGATAGGAATCATCCGCGCCTCAGTCGGGAGATGCGAGATGTGTGGAGTCAGCAAGTGTGGGAACCCCCTGCGTAAAGAGAGCCTCGGCGGTGTTCTACAATTTTCATTATGGTACCCTTGGCTTACCTGCTTGTACATTGCTTTCATCATTTAATTATTGTCACCACTAGCCAGAAAGCGAGCTTGATTTGTTAACAGATATAAATGTAAAATCAAAATTAATGTTTCATCTATTGCGACGAGCTGGTGTGGTGTGAAAACATGTCCGCGTTGTCCGTAAATCCCAGGTGGGGCTTCCTGCCACTTGTTATTCGCTTATGACATATCCAGGTCCTCTCCAACCTTTTCTACGCTACTAAACACATTTTCATCCATCCAATCATTAACCTTTTTAGCAATCTCATCTTTTGCTCTGGCTTTGACCAGCAGATGTGTTGCATCTAAATCTTGAATGATGAACTTCTTGTCCACTGGTTTCA